TGTTTCAGATAATGCCTACACAGAATTTTACAAAGTAGTTTTACTTAATACGTCAAATATTCGCGTAAATCTAAGAAAGTATTACGAAAAATCTTGTATAAATGAGTCGTCATAAAAAAAGTATTTAAAATGAAAATACTTATCACAATGAATGTACAGTGATTTATGACTTAAGATTCCATACGTATATTATCAATCAATAGTGCAAATGTTCTAGGTGTAGCATCAGGCATGAATTAATCGTAGGGTAGTAAACGATCACTTAGCTCACATATCTGAGCTATCCTTTAGAAGTGATCAACTTTGCTAAGTAGTGGTTATTTTATAAGCGTATGTTTTATGTTAATGATAAGAAATATATTTCTATGTAATCTCACTAATAAATATTTAAGTGTGAATGTACACGCGCATGACATGAAACAAATTGATATGGTAGCGCATGCGTTTGAGTATTATCTATACATATAATAAAATTGTAACTAAGCCGAATCTGTACATTAAATATTTTTTGGAAAATCTTATTGAAATAGACATTATTATCGATACAGAGGCCGAATTTATAGTTTTTAGAATTTTTGTCTGTCTGTCTGTCTGTTACCGCATCACAGAAAAACCACTGGAGGGATTTTGATGAAATTTGGTATGGTGATAGCTGGTTATCCGGGTCAACATATACGGTACTTTTTACCGCGGCAAAATATCTCGTTCCTGAGAAAGAATACAAAAACTGCATTGTAAGAGTATACTAATATGTGAAACTTAAGAATTTGCTCTTTGGTCATCTGAACGCGGACGGAGCCGCGGGCAATGCTAGTGTAATATATAATTAAATAATCCATAAATTGTATCCATAACACAAGCCTCGTAGCTTACCATGGAACTAGATGGTGCTGTGTGTTAATGTCCCAACATATTATATTATTATTCCAATAAGATTTTCCAAAAAATATTTAATGTACAGATTCGGCTTCGTTACACTTTTATTATATCTAGGTATACACTAAACATATTACCTCTGCTTAGTCGGTCCTAAGTAATAAAAATATTTAAAAAAAATAAAACTATTTTCCTGTAGCCAACGTATGAACATTCCAACGTAAGTAAAGTGTAGTATTAAAAATTCACCGAAGAATCGCAAGGTACGATACACATTACTGATCCGGTGTACTTAATTAGACTGAAAGATGCTAGTTCCCATGGTGGTATGCAAAAATTGTTGAGAAAATATGTGTGCGTGTTCGCTAATTCGAGACCCGTTTTGCAATTTCAGTATTTAGATATACTTATTATAAAATTGTTGAAGGATTGATTACTGTGCGTTGATTTGTTTTAATATTACCGTCGAGATGATCCGACAAATAAAGCAAAAATTATAGTAGTAATTTGTATCTTTTTTCTATTTTATGTTCTACCCATGTTTTTGTTAAAAATGATTTTATTTTTAGAGGTAATTTAGGTCATTCTTTAAAACAAACATCTATACATATAATAAAATTGTAACTAAGTCGAATCTGTACATTAAATATTTATTGGAAAATCTTATTGAAATAGACATTATCGATACAGAGGCTGAATCTATAGTTTTTAGAATTTTTGTCTGTCTGTTACCGCATCACGGAAAAACCACTGGAGGGATTTTGATGACATTTGGTATGGTGATAGCTGGTTATCCGGGTCAACATATAGGATACTTTTTTTGCGGGAAAATATCTCATTTCCGAGAAATCTATACTAAACGTTAAACCGTAAGTAGGTACGCACCCGGTACCCGAACGGAACGAGGGTGAGTCGCTAGTATAAATATAAAACAATAAATATAAATTTCTCTACAGTCCAAGTAATAATAATTTTTTAAGGCTTTTATTACCAGCATATTGCGAAAGATAACAATTTTGTTCATATTTTCGTGAAAAGAGCGTTGGAATTATTAAAGCTAAAAACTGAGTACAGAATTTGTGAAACCAATCAGTATTCAAGCGGTCGACGAACAAACTGAGCAAATCATATGCAAACTACGATTCCCACGATCGCCGCTTATCGAGTTTTGCCATATAGAAACAAAGCCGGTAGTAATCCCAAATAACGAAAGATATTCATGGATAAGACGTAAAAATATAGACGTAAAATAATTAAAAAAAATGCAATATTAACTTTTCTAAGGAACATCGATCGATGAGTAAACTCGACAAATCATATACACAGCGTGATTCCCACGAGAGATACCTTGCTGCAATACGGTAGTCATCCAAACCAATGAAAGGTAAATGAGGATAAGGTGATTGAAAAATTGATATAATATGTAATTATTCAACCTAATAATAAAATAATATGAAGATTATATTTTCTTTGTTATTTAACTATTTGCAACAATAAAATTTTACGTTTAGGAATTAATAGATACTGATTTTGAAAAATAATGATTCTATAAAAATAAATATACCACATAGTTAAGCTCTAATCTTATAGTTAGCGTATAACTCATAAAGTTTTGTTCTAATCATACATTAATATTAAATACATATAGTATCAAAAAATACTATACCAACATTTCCAAAACGTGGGAAATCTCTGAGCGTATCCATATGTCTGTCGAAAAATGCAGACTTCCTAACCCATGTGAACCCCCTGCGGTCAGTGGCGTGCGGCGCGGGCGTGACACTACTCTCCCAGGTTCGAGTCCCGGCGGGCACCATTAGTGCCAATAACAATCAGCCGGTAGCCGGTCCAACTCGCTAATTTTCTCTAATTTTCCTATCAAAAGCGAAACCATTGTTTAAACCGCCAATAAGGATAACTGTATTCTGAATCGTGAGAACATCGATTTCGTTACGTAATTATCGATTTTCGGTTCGCTCGGTTCAAGGCTGCGTTTTGATGGTAGCGTGCATATCGATATTTAGGTATAAAATGCGACCTTGTGATAATCCGTTAAATTGGGCTTGAAGGAAACTGCGCTAACTGGCTGATGTTTAATCGATTGTGTTAGAAAGGCACAGGGTTATAAGTGAGGTAGTTTGACTTTTAACTTTTATTACCTACTTAAAAATTACATATTATACGAGGGTCGACATTAATAATCCTCGTTGTTATCTGGCGCTCTATCAAATCTAAATTAAAGAAATATCTTATTAATTTAAAGAGTTGTATTAATTTATACTAAAATTACACTTTTTATCTCTCTCCTTTTTAGATATTCTATGACGCAAAATAAGAAGTCTATGTAATTTAACGAATTGCACTATTTTAGGTGATCATTAAAAAAATTAAATTGTAATGAATTCTTTTATAGCACAAACAAAATTGCTGTGGTAGTTTATATCATTTAAGATTAATATTAATAGAATTAATAGCGGTATAAGGATGTAATAGAATACTTTGTTACTCACTGTATCAAATGTTTAACGCAACACTTATATGGTAACCTTTGGAAGTTAGGTCGGCATTAGGCCTCGTTGGCAGCTACTTACCCTAACACACCGTGAATAAATTAATCTCTAACACGCATGGAGGGCTGTCACTGTCTGTTGGTACGTTGCCTTGATCCGTGGCTTGTGCTTCAGTCTCATACAACTTTGTGTAAAGTCATACAGCATTAAACACGTTCAATCTATACTAATATTATAAAGAGAAAAGATTTTTTTGTTTGTTTGTACCGAATAAGCTCCGAAACAACTGAACCGATTTGGATGAAATTTGATAAGAAAATAGTTCAAAAGACCCTGGGATGGACATAGGATAGTTTTTACCCCGGAAATCGTCCCTTTAGGGGGTGTAAATGGGTATAAAAGTTTATTCGGGGAAGCAACCGTCTGTTAAACTCAAGAGTCGCTAGTTTCATATAACTTGATTTTATGTCAAACTGTAGTACCAGTGGTTTATAAGGGAATATTTGTGAATGGATGTTAATATTTAGATATTAAAGCTTAAATTTTTATTTACAATAATATAAAAGGTGTATTACACACGTCTCTTTGATTTTCTGTAAAACACTCTTTATAATATAAAATGGAGCCAAAGCTATGGTGAATAAAGACATCAACAAACACACCATTGCATTTACTAATATTGTCTAAGTTAGAATAATTATTTTTCTTAGTAACGAGATTCATAACTAACTAGCTGACTTGACAATCATTTAAAAACATGTTTTATGATCTTTATGTTGGTTCAAAAATACTAATTCAATTTCCATAACTCATGATTTTTTTTTTAATTTTTACCCTTGAAACCTCACTCGGACTATAAAAATATTTAAGAAAAATAGCCATATCGCTCCAGTCGTTGTAACTACGCTAGCTTAGCAACGAATAGGATTTTATTTTTATTGTATAAAATAATAAGAGTAAAGGTGTAGTGCGCTGTTAGAGCTCCAATAGTAAAACCGATGGAAGATTGAAATAAACCAAATCGACACTTACCTACCTACATTGTAAAGACGGGGTCGGTGGATTTATTTATGAGTTTGTAATACAACATTATTTCTCAAGAAAACCGTTTAAGTGTTGATCTTCTTTACCGATAAGCCCTAATGCTGGCATAACCTATGGACTTTTAATAGACCGTGGTGAAGCATTTGAGTATCGTAATGGGTATATAATAGAAGCAATGCAATTATACACCAGTTAATAAAACTTATAAACGTATACAGTATACATAAACGTATATAGTTTAGGTAAATAATATTAATAGGTTATAAAAAAACCATATTTATTAAAATTGTATTTAAAATAAAAAGAGCTTTTTTTCGAGGTTATCTAAGCTTTAATTACCTATCTTTTTCGGTACACGTATAGTTTGTTATCAAATTAGAAAATTAAAGAAAAAAAAAATTTAGTATGTCGGAGGCTATTTAAAAAAACTGAAGCTCTGGAAGAACTGCTATATTTTGCACATCAGCATTAGTGGATACTAAGAATAAGGCAAAATATGGCGAAATTGTGTATTCGCACAGATTTAATTAGTAAGCGTACTTATTAAGCGCGTATATTAAACGTACAAACCTTGTTGAAAGTAGTTCGACTTGCGTACATAGACACAAACTAATGCCATTAGTTGCAATTGGGACAGTCGTTGTCGCGTCGAGGGAGGTAAGGGTAGAAGGTCCCGAAGGTTTGCGATCTCTGCGTTGATGAGGTCGCGCCGAAGTTTGCTCGCGCCTTTTGTTGATTTGCCTTGATCGAACCTGCAATTGTATTTTCATATAAGAATTATAAAGACAAGTGCGAATCTAACTCGTATATCTAGGGTTCTGTAGAACAAAATATAACAGATGGACAGACGGTCGTATGTACAAACGGAAATAGCGAAATTATATGGGTTACATTTTAGTCTTTTGGCTAAGGAACCTACTTTTGAAAAATAAACTCACATGGACAAATCAAAGAAATATATATAAATAGAAATAATAAATTAATATGTTGGGACAATATCACACAGCACCATCTAGTTCCATGGTAAGCTACGAGGCTTGTGTTATGAATATTAGATAGTTGATACATTACACCTATATAACTTTAAGTACATACTTATTATAAATATAAGCACCCATGTCTGGAGTACAAACATTCGTGCTCATCACACTAATGAATGCCCCCAGCAGGTCTCGAACCCGCGACCAGTGGTACAGCAAGTAGAGTCACTACAAACTGAGCCAAACGTGTCATCTACGTGTACAGCATTTATGATATAAATATGTGTAATTATTAATAATAACCAATAGATCTATACTTTCATAATAAAAAACCCAGTTTAATTTGACCATGATTCTTATAGAATATCATTTTGTTAAATTCGCTACGCTTATACACTACACTGTATTCTTATAAAAATTAATAGTTACTAAGCTATTATTAAATAAAACTATCTTTTCGGATTATTTCGCGGATTTATTTTGATTTAAATCCGCGAAATAATCCGAAAAGATAGTTTTATTTAATAATGTCAAACATTCGCGTAAATCTAAGAAAGTATTAAGTTACTAAGCTAGTAACGGTAGAGGAAGTGGTAGCCCAGTGGTAACGCGCTCGCTTGGTAAATCGAGTAAAGCGAGTTCAAATCCCGGGTCTCACACCTCTGATATTTTCATATGCGAATCATTTCCAACGTCATGATCCTAAACGGTGAAGGAGAACCGCATGTTCGAGATAACTTAGCAATTTTTCAATAGACATGTGAAGCCTGCCAACCCGCACTTGGCCAGCGTGGTGGACTATGGCCTGATTCCCCTCGTGCTGAAGGGAGGCCCGTGCCCAGCAGTGGGACGTTAAAAAGGGCTGTATACAAGCTAGTGAATATAATTTTATTTATAAATATATTGCAAGACAGTAAAGGCTTAATGAATTGATATTTACACCTGCAACGATAGATAAATATATATTATAAATTTTTTTCTTACACCAAATGATTAAGCCATTATCAACATCTCTTGACATGATGTTAAACCCTCTACTTGACTGTTCATATCTAATTTTACCGATTAAAAACCGGTTAAAGTTGTAAAAGCTTCAATCCCATGACGTATGGCGACTAAAATAGTCTTGCTTCAACCTATTGGAATGCGGTTAATTAGTTTTGCAAATTGTTGCCTTGCTATCAGATTTAACTGCATCTAGGAACTACGTCACCGGAAAACATATGTAATATCTATAAAGAGATTTAAATTGCCTGAAAACAATAATGTGAATAACAGTTTAACTTACCTACTTAAAGAGTAATTTATATATCTTTGTAATATATAATACACTAGCGACTTGCCCTCCCTTCGCTCGGATGCGTCCCTAAGTAAGTTTTAAATAGATATGAATAATTATTGCGAGTTTACCTTAGGAAATGGACATATGCTTGATATTGCAGACGATTCGATGGAATCAGTTATGTGTTTTCCCGTGGGAATTAACGATTTACGTGTAGTAAAAGGTAACAACCTAAATGTTGACTCGAGTAATAAGTTATCACTACACCAAATTTAGTTAAAATCGGTTCAGTACTTTATGCGTGAAACGCGCATACATAAACAGATAAACAGACAAATAGACATATTTTTTAATAACTATTGTTTTATGGTCTATATTCTGTACACAATATGTTACATTCATTGTCATTTAAAAAATATTTCATGTACAGATTTTGCTAAGTTACTATTTTATTATATGTATAGAATTATTATGTTATAATAAAACGTTATGTTAGTCATACGCTATACCTAAACAAGTTAGTATTCGTAAGAAATGCATCATATCTCTCTAGTTTGTTATTCACTTATGCTGAATGGTATTTCTCTGCCTGGATGGATTTTACCTTTAGATTTAGATAATCAGATAACCGGTACACACAAACATTTGCCCCGAGGATCGAACCTAATATGACCATCGTATAGGTACTTTACTATAGCAACTCAATCACTGAAATTCTCATAAGAATTCTGGAGCAATTATAGCTCGCTAAAACCACTTTAAAACAATGGATTCAAAAATTATTAAAAATATTATGAATTTATAATTTTAAATCCGTAAATAAATATCGATAAAATCTATATGCTAATTAAACAACTGTGTTGAAAAAATTTAATGTGCAACAATTTGTCAATTCTCAAAAAACATCGAGACGATATCGGTGTATCGATTATGGTTATAAATGTATCGATTCGTTACGGTTAGAATAATAATTTCGACAGGTTTACCATTTATAAGAAGATTTATTAACGATTCATATTGATTTTAATGGAGGCCCATTACGTTTATCCAGTCATTTTTATGTTATTTTTATATTCTGTGAGAATAACATTAAGCTCATAATTTCGTCTTGTACATGTCATTAAATGTGTGTAAACTTCATGGATAATATCATTCTATTAATAATAAACTGCGATATCTCAGTTTTCGTTACTAAATAAAAATCGGTCTGATGTGTGTATTTTTGTTTGCTCTATGTGACATTAGGAGTAGCTGAAAAAAATCTTCTGACCTATAAACTATAAAGAAAAAATTGAATTGATCAATAATCAATTTTCGTTATATTTTAATTTTATGATAACTAAAAAATAAAAAATACCCATAATATGTCAAAATCACTCGAATCTTTCATGCAAACATAAAGATGCAAATAAGCTTTCCCACGAACCCAATATTGTCTGGTATATATTTACTCTAGTGTACCCGCGAGAGAAAATTCTTTTAAAATTGATTGTCATATGGACAAATATTTTATTATCTTTTTTAAATAAATCACTATATTATTCGTATCATTATTTCAAAGTACCAGACAGTCATTTCTTTATTTATAAGCATACTAGCAAGTAGCAACTCACCCTTGCTCTGCTTGGGTTCGGTCCCTAGTTACATTTTTAAGGTATAGTAAAGATTTCTCAAAGATGAGATATTTTCCCGCAGTAAAAAGTATCCTATATGTTGACCCGGGTAACCAGCTATCATCACACCAAACTTCATCTAAATCTGTGCAGTGGTTTTTTCGTGATGCGATCACAGACAGACAGACAGACAGATAAACAGCCAGACAGACAAACACAATTTTAAGACAGACAGACAAAATTTTTATAAACTATAGACTCGGCCTCTGTATCGATAATAATGACTATTTCAATAAGATTTTCCACAAAATATTGAATGTACAAATTCGACTCAATTAGAATTTTATTATATGTATAGATAATATAACATTAAAAATTTTCTACGGTCATATTTCCGGATAATTAAATTATTACAATTGGCTCAAATTGATTGGCGAATATATAATTTCTTGATTATTACTAGTTTAATCATTTCCACATATGTTAATTGACCTTGGAAGATAATCGATTATAAATAAAATTATTTAATATAGCAATTTAATAAAGGTTAAATGTGATCATTGTTATTTGAAACTAGCTTTCGCTCGAAGCTCCGTACGCGTATTACGATGATTTTAAAAAAAAACCTATGTCAGTCTTATCTGTGTTCTCCATTCGTTTGCGAAAGGAAGTAAAACTAAAATTGGTATGCTGTTTCAGAGATTAGCTTGTATGAATAGATAAGATTTTTAATGATGGAGAGAAAATTCAGTTCTACTTATAAGTGTATGGACTTAAACAATTTTAGTAAATAAATAACAATGGGAAAAAATAACACCTTATGAGTTCGGCTCAGCGTTAATAGAAATCTGCGTATAGTAAAAGTTCTGTTCGACAAAAGTCATTACCAAGTAATAGTTAGGTACTTGTGTGGTGTTTGTTTTGATCGTGGAAAGGGATATCTCATGTCATTATTATTATTAATAGTCGACGTAGTTTTTTGTATGGTAATAGTTTATGGACTAATTTTTATCTAAGCACAGAAATCTCCTGTAATATTTAATTATTTATTTACTTCACAAAATTCACCGCTAAGACATTAACATAATGATAAAAGTATAGAATTTAAGCAGAACCCAAAATTGTATTTATATGATTTATTTTTAAAATATTGTGTAATAAACTTAGAATTAAATATAAAGTTATTAGTAAATAACTGTAAAAAGGCAAGGTGTGGGTATGACATTAGTTCTACAAGTACATTTTATGATTTGATGTTTAAACCTGTCGAAGTAGCCATTAGTATATAATAATTGTTTATATAATATATTAATTGCCTGTACGTAACAAGTGAAGGTAAGCATTGCACGAACTCCGATAACTATACGTCAATTAAACGTGCTTAAAACCTTAACACTTTAAATGACTTAAAAATTTGACCCGACCTTAATTGTTAGTACATATATAAATTCCATATCTATGCGGTACTTCCGTGTGTTACATATTGAGTTAACTGTTTCATATAATATATAAAAATATATAATCAATAAAAAACTTTTTGGAAACAGTTTTTTATATACGAGTAGATAGATAAATAATATTCATATATGTTTTCCTCTCAATAATGATTATAGTCAAATATGGACCTCTTCCTTTTGAAGTCGGTTAAAAGGTTATATTTAAGTAAGTTCTTTTCTTCTGTGTGGTGTAATGTCGAGAGTTTCTAAACAAATGGTATGTAATTAATAATGTTAACAAGTACATCCGTCAGCTTCGACTAGAGCTTTGACAAGGTTAATTTCTGTTAATTAAGGTAATATTTAATTTAACTGGTTTTTCGGTAGCTCAGTACAGCTGTACCGGTGAAAATTCTGTGATTCTGGGTTCGATGCTTTGGT